ATCCAGGGTTATCTTATCTAGAATCCTGTATCCTTTATCCTGTAACTAGGGCTGTGCACGTTCCAACTTTTTCCAGCCATTTTGTTAACGGTAAGTTCCAACCATGAAAATAAAAATTTCAGTTAGCTGTTATTTTTAAAGGTAAGAATCGAACATTCTGTCCGTTAATGGCATTTTCCGTTTTTTTATATTACCGTTAATTAACGATTACAATTTTACTAACGGTGTTAACGGAAAATTTTCAACAATCGTTAACGGCTCTAGCCGTTAATGGTACCATTATTACAAAATTAACAATGTTAACGGCGCAAAGTGCCAAAAAGTTTCGTTAACGGTTAAAAATATTGTTAACGGCACAGCTAACGTTAACGGATTATCGGATTATAAACACAAAAGACGACATTTAAAATCATCAAAACGAGTAAAAAAATTTAATTTAAAAAACAAAATTTTAAAACAGAATTCATGCAATTTTTATCAGAAAATAACGAAATTTACCGTTTTTAGCTTTTAAGTTAACGTCTTTAACTGTTCATTTTTTAAAAACGGCTGATCAGTTCCGTTAACGATTTGAAAATTAACGGTTTTTGCCATTCATTAACGGACTCCGTTAATTTTCGAAAATCTCCGTTTCGTTAACGGAACTTTGCCCAGCCCTACCTGTGACCTGGTTCACAACTTGTTAGTTGAACTAGAGGGATATTTTATCTAGAATCTTGTATTCTGTATCATGCATTCTGGATGTTTTATTATGCGTCCTGCACACTTTTTATCCTTTAAAGGTATCCTGTATCAGCTGTGTACAAGTATTCTGTATACTTACAGTGAAAAAAGCAGACTATTATTTTTTTATTTAGTTTAACTAGATAGTATTCTTATTTTACAAAAATATAAAGGTATCCGTCTCCTATAAAGTATTTAGTATTAAGTATTTAGTATCCAATAAGTTAAAACCTGATGATATTTACATATATAGAGGTGTTTAATCCTCCCTAGTTTTATACTTCTCCAAACTTACTAAGTTAGAGAACTAAAACTTTAGAACAAGAGATTGGAACTAAACCTAGAGCAGGAAATACGATTTATTTCTTAAACCGTATTCTGAATAAATGCTAAACCAAGATCAGGAGATAATACTAAACCCAGAACAGGAGAAAAATACTAAACTAAAAACAGGATATACATATTTGACCAAGAACAGGAGATAAATACTAAACCAAGAACAGGAGAAAAGAACCAAAACCAAATTTAAAAAATATAAGAAAATAATTTATACACTTTTTAGATAGAAATGGCTAATACATTTTTTAAAATGCAATTTAAATAAAAAAGGCACTCAGTAAAAATAAAAGAATCCAACAAGATCAATATTTTGGAAAATTAATGAAAATGTTAATATGAATTGAAAAAAAGCATACAATACATTACAATATACAACATGCAATGTAGAAAAAGATTAAATTTTAATTTCAATATACACTTATATCAAGGGTGAAACCTATGGGGCACCAAATCCATCTTGCACCAGTTTTCTTTTATTCTAATTAATAAGAAAATTGAGTTAAATTTTTTAAAATTTTCAAATTTACTCAGATTTTTATTTCTAATGTAAGCAAAAAAAAGTCAAAATAATGTAGTATGTAAAATGTTCAACTTTAAATTAAACCTGAAAAATGTTCGAACCCCATCTTTTAACAAAAATGAAAAGCCTCCCTAATGATCAATGGCTTACTTGGTTAGTTAATAAAAATGCTATAACACTTTAATTATATAACACTTTAACTATATAGCACTTTAACTATATAACTACTTTAACTATATAACTACTTTAACTATATAACTACTTTAACTATATAACTACTTTAACTATTTAACTACTTTAACTATATAACTACTTTAACTATATAACACTTTAACTATATAACTACTTTAACTATATAACTACTTTAACTATATAACTACTTTAACTATAACTACATTTAACACAAAGTATATCAGTACATTTTTAACAGGATTTTGGGCATCTGTATTATCTATTTTTGAGAGAGCAAGATTTTTTTTGATGGGAGGTTAAAACAAATCATTTCTTTGGGGCAGATGTTTTTTCGACATCGTAGGTTTCATCATAATCCTTGTAGTTATAGTTTTCATATGTTTCACCGTAGTTCTCATTGTAATCCGTAGTGTTATATTCATCAGAGTTTATTTCAGTATCTTTGTACCCAGGGTACTCCTTTTATCATAGTTCCAAGGCTCTCCACAATAGAGGGTTGAAAATGTTTGAAAGTACTTCTTAGAGATGCATTCATAGAGTTTCCAACTTTTTCATCGTATTTATCTCTATTAGATATCTCTTTTACGTGTACAGGTAGAAAGCTACATTCAGTGGTACAGTGATACATGTATATCAATACAGAGAATGCAGAACCGGCTGGGCAATCTTTCGTAAAGGAATGGAAAGCTTTTTAATATTAACATAAGATTCCGTTAACGAACGGCAAAAAAATAAATTTTTTAAATCATAAACGAACGAAAAAAAACCGTTCTGAAAATGAAAAAGAACAATCGGATTTGTTTGAGAATAATGGCGTTTTTCGTTAATTGTAGGATGTCCTTTATTTCAAATTTTGCAAAAGTTTTTGCATATTTGAAATGGCATAGTCAAGGGCTTTTCAAAATGTATAGTTTTTCATTTTTTGGACGATTTTTTTTGCAAAGATTTTTACTATATAACTGGATTTTGCAAATTTGCAATTTTTTTGGCAGATTCTAAAATTAGAGCACAAGAAATTTCCAATAATGTATCATTTGTCATATTTGGACATCAAACATGGGATTTAGAGGGGGGGGGGGGCAAATTGACCCCCNGGGGGGGTCAAATTGACCCCCCCAGCATATCCTTGTTTTCAAGTACCCCAGCAGAGAAAGGGTTAAGTACATATATTTACTAAATATATTAATCCTACGAAACATGGCAGTAGCAGTAGCAGTAGTGGATTTTTGGAACAATTTGCGTCATATTGTTTTGTAAACCTAATTCTAAACCTATCTACCTGACGCTAGTTTGGGTGCTAGTAGCGAGGGTAGAACGGACGTTGACCCACAGGGTTTCCAACTCAACCCGGCAGGTTTACTGATGCTCGGAAGATGAGTTAGTTGGTGATCAACCATCTCAGCTTGAAGTACGAGAACGGCTACGAGATCTGCAGCTCTATCTTCTCATCTTCAACAATATTTTCTATCATTAGTATAGCATTCAGTTTGTATTTTACTCTTAATAAATTATGTGTACTGTAGATCGTTTAATATCGAATGAATGAGTCCTTATTAGTTTTGTCTTTCTTGAAGTGAAATATATCTCCCTTTTTGCATTTTTATTGATATATAACAGTATCTTCGAAAGTTAAAATCCATGAGATGATGTGAGATGTCAAATTTTATTTAGGTGAAAATTAAATCTTTTCTGCTGACGTAATGGCTAACCTTTACGATATGAAATAAATTGCAAAATATTTATTGTACCACTGCCTTTCTTTTATCCCAGAGAAGGAACCACCCGGAAAAATTCTATAGTATGATATAATTAACAACAAAAAAGATTGAAGATCTAGGAGCTCGGAATAACTTACAGCATTATAAAATAGGAAATTAAAAATTATTGATAATATTGTTATTTATAGCCTGTATAGTCAATATTACGTCATCAGAACTTTCACCAATGACAGAGCAGTATACTGGTCACGTGATATGCAGACAGAGACACGTTACAACAATACTACTGGCGATGTAAAACGGACTATACAGGCTATGCGTAATAATATTATTAATTATATTTATTAAAAATGCAAAATAAAAATTAAAAAAACTTATGACAGGAGCAAATCTGAGATTCTAAGGCTCCTGTGGGATATAGTCATTTTTTGATTGGTTGCGTTTTTGTTGAAAATGGTCTATTTTCATTTTTCCTTTACAGTCCCTTTAATGATTATTGATTTTCATCACCTTGTAGATTATATTGTTGTGAAGTGTTATTATTAGTCCCATATCAATATTATATGTTTTTCTTCGATTATTGGATTAATGGACATTCAATATTCAGAAGATGAAATCCAATAATTATTCATTTTGTTGCTTTCAGGTTTTTGTCCACAGATGGGTGCTGAGTGTAGAGTGTAGAGTGTAGAGTGTATAGTGTACAGTGTAGATTGTAGAGTGTAGAGTGTAGAGTGTAGAGTGTAGAGTGTAGAGTGTAGAGTGTAGAGTGTAGAGTGTAGAGTGTAGAGTGTAGAGTGTAGAGTGTAGATAGTAGATTGTTTATTGTAAAGTGTGGAGTGTAGAGTGTACTATGCTGAGTGTAGAGTGTTGTTGCTTTCAGGTCCTTGTCCACAGATGGGTGCTGAGTGTAGAGTGTATATTGTATATTGTAGAGTGTAGAGTGTAGATTGTAGATTGTAGAGTGTAGAGAGTAGAGTGTAGAGTGTACAGTGTAGAGTGTAGAGTTTGGACTGTGGAGTGTAAAAGAAAAACTAATTAATTTCTTTCATGTGTATTTTGGTTTACATGAAACATTAACAAATTAATCTCATCATATTGACAGATTGCATTTTTTTTTGTTAAAATCGACAGTTCCCTTTCCCTTACATATATCATCTATGTTTACTGTGTATTACTGTATTCGAAAGATCGTCTTTGATTATGAAACTACAGGTTGCGGATAATGTTTATGTAAAAGATATAGATGAAGACTGCAAGGATAGATCAAGGAGACGCAAAAAGAAAAGCTTTTATAAGATAAAATCTCTGCAGAATAGAACTGGAAATAGAGAAAGGTTTTTCCCGTCGTCAACCTTATTTTCTTCCCGGAGTCATCAAGATAAATACAGGATATAAGGTAATACAGGATAGAGGATAGAAGGTAATACAGGATACAGGATATAAGGTAATAAAGGATACAGGATATAAGGTAATACAGGATACAGGATATAAGGTAATACAGGATACAGGATACAGGATACAGGATACAGGATACAGGATACAGGAAATAGGATTCAGGACACAGGATACAGGATACACGATTCTTGCAAAAATATCCAGGAAATAGGATTCAGGATGCATGATAACATATCCAGGATATAGAATATAGGATACAGGACTATAGATAAATATCAAGGATACAGGATTCTTGATAAATATCCAAGATATAAGATACAATATTCTTGATAAAATATCATGGATACAGGATACAGAATTCTTCATAAAATATTCAGAATATTGGATACAGGATGCATGATAAAATATCCAGGATATAGGATGCATGATAAAATTTCCAGGTTACAGGATACAGGATTTTTGATCAAATATTCAGGATATTGGATACAGGATGCATGATAAAATATCCAGGATATAGGATGCATGCCAAAATATTCAGGATATTGGATGCAGGATGCATGATAAAATATCCGGGAAATAGAATACAGGATAAAATAAACCTCTGGTTTCACTAAGAAGATTTGAACCAGGATACAGGATACAGTTTACAGGATAAAATATCCCTGTGGTTCCACTGACAAGATGTGAACCAGGTTACAGGATACAGGATACAGGATGCAGAATATAGGATAAAATATCCTCTGGTTCCACTAACAAGATGTGAATCTTCTAGTTTCGTCAAATTCTCTCAATGTAAAGTAAACAAACCAAAATCCTTGAAATAGAAAGAGCATTCTAGAATTATTTTAGTCAAACTTCAGAGAAGAAATAAAGTTTCCTTTGGTTTAGTTTCGACTAGTTTCTTTCTCCTCAATTTTATTCTTGAATTAAACAAAATCTTGTAATTATCCTCTTTATTCTGTAGTAAATCTATCTCCTATATCCTGGAACCCAGGTATCCTATCTCCTGTATCCTGGAACCCCGTAATTCTATCTCCTGTATCCTGGAACCCAGGTATCCTAGCTCCTGTATCCTTGAACCCCGTAATTCTATCCCCTGTATCCTGGAACCCAGTATTCTGTAGCCCAGTAATCCTATCATCCTAGCTCCTGTATCCTGGAACCCCGTAATACTACCTCTTTTATCCTGGACAGTAATCCTAACTCCTATATCCTGGAATCATGTAATCCTATCTCCTGTATCCAAGAACCCTTTAGTATATATATATACTTTGATTGTCTGTCTGTTTGTTTGTATCCAATAAACGTCAAAACCGCTGAACCGATCGGGCCCAAATGTTTTGTAGGACCTCAAGTGACGCTAGGGATGGTTTATGGATGATCGAATTTTCAAAAATTTGCCTCTAACAAAATTCATTTTTTGTTTGTTTTTGTTTTACAATTTTGTTTTACAAAGATAACATGTTCACAATTGAAAAAGAAGATGGGCGCGAAGTGTCTTGAAAGGCTAGTACTGTATATCTCTGTATTCTAGAACCCTGTAATCATACCTCCTGTATCTTTAACTCTTTTTTCTTTTATCCATATATTCTTGAATCTTGAACCTTACTTCTGATTTCTTGAACCCTCTAATCCTATTCCTGGTCCTGTGTCTGGAGTGGCCTGGACCCCCAGGATACCATGAGCACAGTGCAGAATATTAATGAGTAGAGCTGAGGACAGTTTTCTTTCATTCTTTCTTCTCCGGCAGCAGCAATATACTTAGAGTTTCTTAATTAAACCAGGATTAGAAATATACTGATGAAGAACATTTTTAGTTTCTAATTTATATTTACTGCACACTAGAACCAGAAAATATCAGAGGGGACCAAAAGTATGTAAAACCCAGGTATAAGCAAGACATAGATTACCAAAGAAATACAGGGTTTCATTATGAATCTAAAGGATATTAAAGAAATAATAAAATCATTGTGGAATGTAGATCCCAGATTGTAAAATCTAGGATACTGGAACGAAGAACCATGATACAACTAAGAAGCATGATACACCCAGGATACTAAAGTAACCAAGGTATCATAATAAAAACCGGGATAATAGAGAAACCATTATATCACTGTCGAACCCAGGATACTATAGGAACCATGATATCCCCGTAGAACCCATGATACTAGAGAAACCATAATATCCCTATATCCCACCCCCCTGCTACCCCTGAACCTCCTACCAATTACAACTCATTTATAATCCTCTGTTGTTAAAGAAATATATTTGTTATAAAAAGAAATATATGGACTAGATAAAGAAAAAGAGTTCTGTAAGGAAAGCTCACTAATCTCAACTATTTATCCCTCCGACTCCGACAAATGGAAGAAATTCAAATGTCAAGGATTTTCCTCCCATGAGCTTAGCGGTCTTATTAGAGACAGGTAGATTCAGAAACCATGAAATCATTGTTTTTCAAAATTATTTATCAATCTTTTCTCTAACCGTCCTTGTTTTTTTGTTTATTTTTTAACAGCATAAAATGAGAATGACGGCGTAAGTAACTCTTCATTTAAAGAGTTTAATACACAATTCACAACAGTACCCTTTCATCCTTCAGTTATAAACTTTGACTATTTGGACCAGCAGAAATTATAAGTTATCGAAGGTTACGACATCAGGTTGAACAAATATGGAATGAAAAAATTATGTGTTCAGAGCTGGAAATTCTTGTGTTGCATGGCTATCAAGATCAATGCTTGATCTCCTCTTTTTTTATCTGCATTTAATACTCTTGAAGGTGCCTCAAGCTTAACTAATAATAATGCTGTTTGCAGAAACCAAACAGCCAATAAAAAGTCGAAAATTTTTGCTCGCAATCAAGTAGAGAACTCATTGGTCGTAATCTGCAGCAGGATTATCCAAAACAGAGGATTAAGCAGAAAAACAAAAGTGTCCACAGTGGATATAAAGATTAAGAGAACGGGATTTAGGGTATTTAAAACAGGATTTTGCAGCTTTTGGCAAGTTTTTGAACTCTCTGCATAATTTGATACTTTTATAAATCCATCTTTGATCATAGACAAGGAGCTCAAAGAATATTCGTGTTCACTTGAATAATTAAAGTTCTAACTAGAACCTTGCATGATTTCTCAACCAAATATTTTCTAGTTTTAAAGGTTTAAAGGTGCTGATGAAATAATATAAAACTGAGAGTTATGCAAATATATATTTTTAACGTTTTTTAACATCGAACTTAAAGAAAACGCTATTAGAGCCCAGAGACAGTACACTAGTACAACAGATGTGTACAATTCTGAAATAACTTTCCTTGCATTACATCCTTGGAAGCCACAATTGAAAATAATGAGTTTTTAAAATCCAGGGGACATTAGTTCCGAAACTAACACTTGGCCCATTTCTAACACTAAATTATTTTAAATCTTAATTTCCCTATTTTATTTGCTAAATTAGAGTATAAAGTTGATTTACTTTCCCGCATTGTGAAAAAAACATTATCCAGAGATGGAATTTAAAGAATTTGAGCCGCGGTTTAAATCCGCCAAAACCCGGTTTAAATTAAGCGCCGGTTTAAATCTTGAAACATTTGATGCAATTTTAAGTGGAACCAACCATATTTAAACCGCGGCTTAAATTTAAACCGCCGCTCAAATTCTTTAAATTCGGCCACAGGATTTCTTGTTAACTCTATATCGAAAGAACAAAATAATTTCAAAATTATAAAAGAACAGTATTTTTTTGTTTTCTATTTTATTTATATTTTACCATACCATTTAAGTAAGTGTGTAGATGCGTGTTAATTGACATTGATATGAATTCAAGTAATCGTCCCTAAACCAGAATATGTTCCGAAAAGGTTCACTTGAAATTACGTTTACAATCCCTTTATGGGATTAGGAATAAGATTAATGACCCCTCCCCTTTAATAATTGAGTTATGTGAAAGGGTCGCCTTGTGCTTTCTTAAAGAAAGTACAATAATTGTCTGAATGGTATTAGAGGGGAGGGGAGGGGGGCGGGGGTAGACTCCATAATTACAGAGTAACACATTGTGAGAATTATATTAATGGTGTGGGCTAGATGTATATGAGAGCTCTAGAATTATTATACACATCAACGCACTAATATGGAATTATAGATTAAAAGAAACCATGGAGCTTTGCCCCCCCCCCCCCTCCATTGTTATAGTGAAGATTTAATATATGTTTCACAAACATGTAATACAATATGTATGATATGTATAATATGTATAATATGTGTAATATGTATGGGGGACGGTCAAAATAATTTCGAGTAAATTAAAGAATCACTGCAAAACTTGAGACGGAACCCTTTTAAACTCCTTATTGAACTAAAGTTATGCAAGGAAGATAAGATCGTATAGTGACTTGCGGATCTATTTTAGCAAAAACAAGGGAGGAAATTGACTACACTGATCTCTTTTTAGATTTTTAAAGCGGCAACTATGTTCCGTCATTTTTACTCAGATTGAGGTTAAAGGGTTCTGCTGTGACTTGAAATAACGTTAACAGTCCTTTCAAATGATTTAGATGTGAAGATAAGACGGAAGTCAAACCTTATAGAAATCCAACGTATAGAAACCGCTACGTATAGCAACAAGGCGTATAAGACGGTCGGGGCCAGTTTCCAACTTTACGGTTTAAATACTAGATTAGTAGGTACTGGTAGCAGGATATCATAGAGTAAAGACGTGCTTCCTAACAACTCTAAAACTATGCGTAAACTCATTTTCCTGATTTACTTTCTAGTTGCTCTAACCTTTGGAGATAACGTGATGGTAAATATCCTTCCTGGACCTGCAATAATAACTGTTAAATGTGAACAAGAGGGCGGGGAGTGGAATTGTTTTGAACAATCTGAACCTGAATATTGTGGTGTTGGATACAGTTGTGAGGAGTCAGTTTATAAATCTAATTTTGATAATATAAATCTGTTTTGTGAATACCAGGATGAGTATGCACAATGGGACTGTCCTACGCTAGATCTCAAGGAGCTCTTGGAAACTAGATGCCGTCCTGTTACATCAGTTTGTGGAGTTGGAGCAGAAGCTTTGACTGTGTCCTCAGGAGCATCTGGTAGCATACTTCTGTCAGCAGAGTTCTCATCATCCTGTCCTGCAGACAAAATATGCTACAATAAAAGATTTAAAAAATGCTGCTCCCTTATAAAATTGGGAAGACGATATAAATGTCCCAAATATTGTTGATATATGATGTATTGTATACTGTACACTGTTACTGTACTGTACGTTACACTGTACACAAATAAAATCACTGAGATAATAGTTAAAAATTTAACATTGAAAGATATTTTCTAAGTATTGATTATATGTTCCTTGAAGGGATGTTACGACACAGTATGTAAAAATTAATAACCCCAATTCTTTTTTTATGCTTTGAACCAAGAATGATAAATCAACCCCAAAGTGATCATTATACTTGAATATATCTATTTATTTATATATAAAGTAGTAATTTCTCTGTTTCTACTTTCTATATTTGTTCCCTTTGACCGATTTTCCTCAAATTTTGATTGGGGTACTCGGTAGAACTATGGGAATGTTCTTAGCTAAAATTCTCATAAGATTGACTTTTACAGTGAAACCTTAGTTTTCAGGCAAAGCTGCATACAAAAAAAAAGGTTAAAAAGAGAATGGACCCATTGTAACTAGAGATTAATAAAAACACAGATAGAACACTAGAGGTTGTCTTTTCAAGATTTAGGGTTTTTTTTGTTTACAATAACCCTAAGGCAGAAGCCCAAAGGAGTTCCGCGCAGGCAGCGCATGCTCTGTCTCTTGTAATTCAACGAAAAAACTCCCAAATCTTGACAAGACGACATCTAGTGTTTTATCTGTGTTGTTATTAATCTTTGATTATAATCTTCATGACAATGAAAAAATAAAAGATGATGAGTTGGATAATAAAGATTTCCAGCAACAGAATAACAAAATTTTGATGTCTAACAAAAGTTAGAATTTAACTTTTTCTGGTAATAAAATTATCGTTTAAATGTTGCCTGACAACCTTGAACATGTTTGAAATAAATATAGGTTTAGCTCCAATCTCTTGTTCTTTAGTTTTAGTTCTTCGACTTAGTAAGTTTGGAGAAGTATAAAACTAGGGAGGATTAAACACCTCTATATATGTAAATATCATCAGGTTTTAACTTTGTGGATATAAGATGAAAAATACTATAGGATATAGTAATACTTTGTAGGGTAAGTATGATACAGTATGATATGGTACAGGATATTTAATACTTTTATAGGATACAGTATACCTGTGAAGGATAGTGGATACTTTTATAGGATACAGGATACCTTTATAGGATACGGAATACCTTTAAAGGATACAGGATACCTTTATAGGATACAGGATACCTTCATAGGATACAGGATACTTTATATGATTCAGGATACCTTTATAGGAAACAGGATACCTGTTTACATTACAGGATACCTTCATAAGATACATGATACCTTTATAGGATACAAGATATCTTTAAAGGATACAGGATACCTTTGTAGGATACACGCTACCTTTATAGGATACAGGATACCTTTACATAATACGGATACCATTATAGGATACAGGATACCTTTATAGGACACAGGATACCTTTATAGGATACAGCATACCTTTATAGGATACAGCATACCTTTATAGAATACAAGACACCTTTTTTTAAGAAACATGATATATTGTTGAAAAAGGATATTAAATGATTTAAAGTTTTAAAGGGTACGGTTGAGAGTTTAAAGGGTACGGTTGAGAGTTTAAAGGGTACGGTTGAGAGTTTAAAGGGTACGGTTGAGAGTTTAAAGGGTACGGTTGAGAGTTTGACATCAACATTATTTTACTGAAGGGCATCTTAAATTAGTTCTACAGTCCCTTTAACTCGAGTTTCAACAGAGAAGTGGACAGAAATATTCTGTAATTTCAGGTTTGGTCAGAGCTAGATAAAACTAGTTTTAGGTTTTACTTAGAACACAAGAAAGTTATTTTGTAAGTTAGCAAGTAAAATATAGGTGAGTTAACTTCAAAATGTTTTTCTAAGCTTATAATTTTGAAAATCTAGAAATAAAAATGTTAAAAACAGAATATTTATAAAGTAATTTTTGTTTAATCAATTCTTTGAATTATATATGTTTCTTTTTACCCTGTAATTCAATTAGAAGACAGCACCAGGATCCTATTCACTCTAAGTATAAATCAGGTTTTACAGGAGTAAAGACGTTTACTTCGTGTGCTCCTAAACCATGTGGGAACTAATAGTACTTTTCTCCCTTCCATTATCCATCCTGGGAGAATCTATTGAAATTTTATTTGATGGTGGACCAGACAATGTAAGTGTGACATGTGATACCCAGGATGGAAACTGGACTTGTTATGAGCAGAGGGTTCAATCCTATGGTTCGATATCATACAACTGTTCTGAGACGGTTTATACCTCGGATAAAGATATGATCAGTAACCATTGCAACTATGATGATGAGTTCACTTTATGGAGATGTAAGAAAGATTTTGAGGATTATATATCAGAGGTAAGAGGAAATATTTTTTGCTGGAATTTTCGGAAATAATAGCAAGTTAAAAATTTGCAATTTGCTCGTTGAGGTCAGAACTTTATGAAACACCAATCCGTAAATTTTCTGGTTTGACGAAATAAATCAATCCCTTTTAGGATGTTTATAAAGATACTTTAATCATCATCCAATCAGGAGCCACAATATCCAATAAAAGATTGCTAAATACGAATCAACTGATTTTCATGCATTTTGCTTCCAACAATTAAGAATAGTTTTCACACTTAGTATGGGTTTCAGGCATTTAATATTATCAACTTGGTTTATTTGTAGTAACAAACACAACTTTGTCTAAATTTTAATCAATCAGTTGTGTATTGTAGAATCTGAACAGCTAATCAGATGTGTATTGTAGAATCTGAACAGCTAATCAGATGTGTATTGTAGAATCTGAACAGCTAATCAGATGTGGATTGTAGAATCTGAACAGCTAATCAGATGTGGATTGTAGAATCTGAACAGCTAATCAGAAGCCGAGAAACTTCAAATTTGTTGCGCGCAATTCATGAGAGAACTCTTATAGGTTCCAGGCGCGTAGTGGAGGTTTAGCCTTGGGGGTTGCACTTTTGGCGCGTGTAAGCGCGCCGAAATTTTTTTTGCACCCTCCTAATGGTTGATGTGCACCCCCCTAAAAAACGGTGTTAAGAAAAACAAAAGTTTAAAATCTATATTAATCTACCTGAAGGCTGACTATTTGTCATCTGACCATATTTACCAATAATTATAAATGAAACCTCGCGAACAAAATATTGTAAACAAGATTAAGGTACAAGCAAGAATTTGAGAAATAGTCATAAAATGGACAAATTGTGACATTGTCGATTGATAAGAAAAGTAAAAAAGTTGAATATATATGTAAGTTTACTGTTTAATAAAAGTTGAGCTTGGCTCTAGCTCTAAGGGGGGGCACAGTGGTACCGGCCCCCCTCCACTACGCGCCTGATAGGTTCGTAGGCACCAGGATATCCAAAAGAGAGGGTTAAGCTGAAAATCAAAACAGTGGATAAAGATTTAGCTAACAGTACACCGAATACATTCTCCATTTCTAATAAGAATAAATAATCAATGTGCAGCGTCATTTAACACAAAAATTGTGACCTCTAAAGTCCAAAAATTGTGACCTCTAAAGTCCAAAAATTTACTGATACTGTAATCTAACAATATTTGATCCTAGGTATGTGAGGTGCGCGGAATGGCATCTAGTGCTAGTATTGACAGATTATCGGTATCAGAAGAACCTTTTTCTCAAGTTCTACTCTCATCAGAGTTCTCCGAAACATGTCCTGAGGACAAGATCTGCTACAATACCAGCGAGAGAAAATGCTGCCCGCTTATGCTTATAGATCATCAGTATAAATGCCCGCGGTCTTGTTGAAGATCCTTGTTAAATATTTCTAAAAAGGAACCGTGACATTCCAATTATATAGAGTTGCATGTACAGTTGACTACGGTTCCCTTAAAAGTTTTGTCTAATCAGTTATAATTTAGATATGTATGTTATGCTTTATATAAACTGATTTTTTTTGCGTATTTTCTTGTAGAAACAATAAAGGAATTGTTAGAATCAAATATTCTTAATCTAAACCATTTTTATTTTCCACACTAAATATTAGAGAAAGGTTTCAGATGATAATATTATGAATCTAACATGTAAACGGAGGCAGTGTAGTCGGAGGTAGTGTAAACGGAGGTAGTGTAAACGGAGGTAGTGTAAACGGAGGTAAAGTAAACGGCGGTAGTGTAGTCGTAGGTTATGTAAACGGAGGTAGTTAAACGGAGGTAGTGTACTCGGAGGTAGTGTAAACGGAGGTAGTGTAAACGAGGTAATGTAAATGGAGTTAGTGTACTCGGAGGTAGTGTAAACTTTAATGGTTAGTGCGTAAGGGAGGATTATTAAAAAGTTCAAAAAGTATGTCAATTTTTTTTTCAAAAATAGTTATTTTTACTTTTGAAAAATATTAAAATAAGACACAAGTTAATATATCCTTTTTTCAAGGCCTTTTCAAATATTTAAGTCTTAGTCCTGTAGCTTAATTAAAAGCTGTTAACAAGTTCTGAATTTTTTTTAAACACCGACCTGCTGTTTACCTTCCCTATCATCAGATTTTTTTTTTAACAAATTTGTTCACTTTGAAGTTTTAGCGTTCTAATGCAAGTCATTTTTAAGATATTCAGAAGAAACCAAGGGGGGGGGGGTTGGAAGACACCCCACCCCCAGTCGTAATAGGGTTCATCTTAGTATTAGGTACAAACTTAATGTATTGACATTTATGCATGGATACTTTAATGATAATCTTTCCCTCTTCGTCTTGTATGTTTAAGTCTCTAGCTGAACCAAATAGAACAAAACTATATTATTTAGAACGGTTTTCAAACAAAAATCTAGAATGCTTTCTATCCAGTATCCGCCATGTTTCCAAAACTGTGGAATTCAAATGAAATTGACCTTAAAGAAATGTGACAAATATTCAATGAATATTTATGCATAATGCAGTAAATATTGATAAGTCATAAACCCTTCTATCTATCTGTATTTCTTGCTTGTAAACATAACCTTAAGTTTAAACGATTCATGTTTTAAATCTTGAATTCCTGGCATTTACCTTGACTTTTGAAATGAAAAATACATCCTTTTTGTCTATATACTTCAACCTTTTTCAACCTCAAATCCTAAAAGTTTAAAATTGTCAGACTGAACTTTAATAAAAAAATCAGATTTTTCTAAATTAATTTTTAATCCCAGTCTGTGTATTCTGTATAAAAATATTTCTAATTGTTTTTTGTGTAGATCTTGTAACAGTATGTCCAGATTTATTACATTTACTACATTTCTTTTCTCTGTTACAATATCTTTCAATATGTCCCATGGAATTACAGTTTTTACATTGTTTTGTTTTGAAACATTTTTCTGTAGAATGATTGTTTTTATTACAAATAGAACATTTTTGGGACGGAAACGAATTGTTGCCACTTGTTTCATCTTCATCTTCAGACTCATTAGTTTGTGCAAAGTTATATTTTGGACCTTTATAATTTTTTGCCATATGCGCATCAACCTCGGACTTAAATTTATAAATGAAATCAACAAGTGTTGGTAGTTCAGGATATTTTCCTTTATGGATAATTTCATATGAATCCAAAAATTCGAGAAGTTTTTCAAATACTCGTTTAGGTAAAATATGCTGCACTGAATGCACAAACAATTGGGATTGTTGGTCAGAATTCTTTCTAGAGAGTGATAAAAGTCTCAAAGTTTCTTCTGTAAAGTCATGCAAGTTCGTAAATTTACTTTTTTGATTTACAATAGCAGAGAATGCTTCGTGGTGGAATTCGGAGCAATCATATATATTTAGTACATTTGCGATTAGACCCTTTAATGAATCATGTTTGTACCCCCTTATTGCATTCTTTATTCTAGGGGAAAGTTTTTGATTTAAAATCAACTCATATTCGGTTTCAGTCATATCAAACCCTAAGTTTTCAGTAATTGCATTTAGACCATTCAGCAATTCTCGTATTGTTAAGTCGGTGTCGTTTTTAAACACCGGTATGTTGGCAAAAACTCGTCAGAGTTTTGTCATACGATCAAGATCTATTTTTTTATTGGTAGATTTTAAATTGGCAGGAGGGCCTAAATCTTTGTTATTTCTCAATGTATTAATCATTAAAAATCTTTCTGACACAAGATCATCAATTGTTTTGCTATCAGTATATTGTTTAAACAGGTCTTTCATTATCCTATCAAGATTATCCCCGTCTATTCTTTTCTTATCTAGTTCTGAGGTAAGTTCCCCCAATGTACTTAACTTTTCAATTTTGCAATCAAGGGCTATATCTACTTGTTCGTCATCAGTATTTTTTACTTTTTCTTGTTCTTTCTTTCCTTTCCCTAAGTACTCCTTGAAAGAATCTAGTGACTTAAACGAGCGTGATGGATCCCTACCTATCGACTTAGATCTAGTTTTAGTTTCCGCCATATTTTACAGTATACTTTCTACTTTTATAAGACTGTAACCGCTGAACTGTCCCTTTAACTAGTATACGCTATAGGGTCTACACCTACAAACCTTGAAACCTCAATTTAAGGTTAAACTCTCTCTTTCTAAACCAGACACTAGATATATACAGAGCGTCCCATATCATATTAGATTATCTTCAATCTTTAACACCAAAATAAACCCTTAATACTCGAAAAAATTTTCATTTTCCCCAAGAAAATTCTTGTATAAGACTTATGTTATTTTTCAAAATGATTCATTCTAATGAAATTTTCTAATTAGTCCCGAAAATCGTAATTTAGACCCGTTCTCGGTCTAATATGATGTGGGACACCCTGTATATACAGTACAGAGTAAATATACTCCCTAAAATTGTATGTATCTATTTATGTATATTTATAATTTGGGTGTTTTTTAATGCAATACAAATTGTTTAAAAGATATGGATGTTATATATCAAAAATTTGTAAAAGAACAAACGTGAGTAATGTGCAAACTAAGCACTCCCCCCACTCAAAAAAACCAAATCAAAGAATTGCAGGTTCGATTGCAGTAACGTTGCCATTTGTGACAATGCACATATTTTATGATTATAATTTTAGTACTTTTGATCTCTAATGTGCTTTAAGTATAATATTTTTAAACTAACTTAGTTATTCTAAAATGTAACTCTTCAAGACTAAATTGAATTCTCTTAGAATAGCTTCCTTAAATATTGATCGTTCTAATAGTTTAACATTTTATCTTCAACAATTAGATAATCTAAAGTACTAAAAATTATGACTCTTAGATAGTTATTTATAAATTGACTTACTTTTTAGAAGATGTTATAGACTGTCAGAAGTATATTTCACAATAACTTATGGAAGAGTGGCAATACATAAATTTTACATGGTATTTATACTAAATCACAAAGGGTTGCAGTTTGTGTAAAAACATATATATATATACTAACTATACAAAGATTTATTTTACATAGTTTCATTGGTTACGATTCTGGTTGTACATCACATTATTGGTCGATGGAAATGGTTTCATGATTATATGTCTAATGCTGATCTACTATTGGTCGATGGAATAAGGCATTGACTGTAAGTTTTTACTAAGTTTTTTAGACGTCTGGTTAACCAGTCTCTAGAACTGTACATTGAAAAAGGTTGAAGTATATAGACAAAAAGGATGTATTTTTCAATTCAAAAGTCAAGGTAAATGCCAGGAATTCAAGATTTAAAGCATGAATCGTTTAAACTTAATGTTATGTTTACAAGCAAAAAATACAGATAGATAGAAGGGTTTATGATTTTTCAATATTTACTGCATTATGCATAAATATTCATTGAATATTTGTCACAGAGGTTTACTTCACTTGTAAATACAACAGTTCCTTTAATTTACAAGAATCTTATTTAACAGAAGTGACCTACTGTGGAAGACGATGCCTGGCCGTGTTAAACAAGTTCCACAAGATTCAACAGAATGAGATAGAACGGATACGGGGCATAGTACTGATAAAATCTGCAGCAACTCTTTCTTTTTATGTTGAAAACCCTTTTTCTACAAAACAGGCTTGCTCAGCTAGGCTGCGCTCGCTGGGTATAAAAAGGGTTAGCAACGCTTTATAACGGCCCAGTTTTTCCTGTATGTTCGTCTCTACCATATCTTCAATATATATGTTTCAAGGTATTTTTCTTGATAAGTTTAAGACAGAGTTTTAGAAGCTTTAGTTTAGAGAATTGATTCTATATGAAAAGGGTTTATTCACAACTCCAATTCTATTTCATTGTCCGCCCAACATTGTTGGTCTTCAATTGATTCAAACACTGATATTTTATTATCGTTACTATCTGAGTCACTCGCAACAGTTATTGTTAATATATTATCGGAACTAACAAAGACATTTTCATCGTCTGACCAAAATATTTCATCGCTTTCTAATATATCTTCCCATTCAGGTCTATATAACACTTGTGTCCATGTGTCTCTATTGTTCAAATCTTCGTTCAATTCGTGTAAATCCCTTTGATTAGCAACATTAGAAAAAAGACTCTCCGTATTCATTTTCTCAGCTGAAAAAATACAAGACATTAAACTAAGAAAAACCCCAAAGTTTATTATTTAATTTTTTTTTTGTTATTGTTTGAAGTCTCCCCTTAAATTTTAATGCAGTACAATTTTGTTTGTAAACAATAATATCAAGGTCAATATCAACGATCACAAAACAGGGATAAATATATTAATTTTCATATTTGAAAGTATAGTAAAAAAATTTTTTTATTTCTTTTGTCTATTAAAAAAAATTATTTTTAGTTAAAATATTGTTTTATTCCTGTTTAGGGTCTTATATTGAATTTTAAAGGGCTTACACGTCTTACCATTAAAACCAGATTTATTGTCAAAGTATTTTTGTCTTTTGTGGATTTGTCTTGAATATGTGTCTTTGTTTAGTTTTAGTTCCGATATTGTTAGTCTATTTTTATTTATTGACATATTGACATTATGTCTGCTGCTGCTGCCCTCCAAAAATGGTTAGAGCTTAAAAATAAAACTTCTACGCCTATTTTCTCTGCTACTTCTATCCTTGAGAATGAAAAGATGGACAGCACTAGTGAAGGGATATGGTCTGAGAAGATTCCGGAAATATTTATCCTCTCCTTTCTCTATATACTAGTTCAAGGCTTAGTCTTCCTCACCAATTGGTATTCCAAATACCAGTACTTTAAGACCAAGAAATCCAGTTCCTCAACTACACATGCTCTATACTATTCCTGGTTTTACTGTACTGCTTCAGGTGAATACAAAATTATTAGAGTTTCCTATGAATGTTTAGTTATTTTTTATATTGAGAGCAATTTATTTAACATTAATTAACAATTTGACATTAATGTTTTGTATTTTTATAGAAGCTGTTGAAATGTCAGACATTTACCAGTCATGTACTGATCCGGAAGCTCCAAAGATTTTTTCTTCTACTCCAAGGTGAATATACTTTTTAGGACTTTCTCATGTTTTCTTACTAACCCTGCATTTTAAATTTTTAACAAGTTTGTAATTCCATATATTATTAATTATTTTAAATTTAATTAAAAACGCAATTATATAATTATTTTGTTTTACATAAAGACTAATGTTCGGGTTTTTTAACGTTGAAACAGTTCTTGGCGTTTAGTTTGAGGTCGGCTTTCTTTAAACTAATTATCGGATTAGGGGTGTAATAGTTTTAAGTAAAGGGTGTTTTTTAAGTAAATAGAAGGGGTTTTCATGATTAAATATATTTATTTAGGTGTAGAGATATTGAGATGTCCACTATTCAACGTGTTTTATCAGAAGACCATGGTTATTCCTCAGCAACACGCCATACTTTTTAACCCCTTTTATTCAGTATTTTATCAATAAAATTTAATTAGTTGTCTGTGTTCATAAAATTAAACTTAATATTAAAACTTTTTAACCAAATTGTCTTTATTAATACCCCAATGTTTTATCAACAAAATTGTATTTAGTTGTCTGTGTTCATAAACTTAAATTTAATGTTGAAACGGTTGAACTAAAATTTAATACTACCCCAAGTAAAAGATTTAGAGAATGTAATATTTGGATTGAAACGGTTGAACCGAACTTCCTTTGTTAATACTCCAAGTAGAAGATTTATTTTTATATTTGTATTAATAATTCTACTTTAATTGAAATACAATCTTTTTGCAACCTCATTGTTTTCTCATTTAGCATTAATTCAGGGTGATATATAGAGTTTTTATTTTTTTTATAAATTGTAAAGTTCGATGTACATAGAATACTCTCAATAAAAGTTTTTATTATCTACATTTTTTCATTTACAATATTTTTCACAGTCCTGATATTTTGTATAAGGCAGAGCTTCAGTTTGTATTGACCTTTTGAATCAAAATGAATATTTTGGGTTTTATTATTATCTATGTCTTAGTAACAGTAGACGGGCGTGAGTGGCAAATTCCCGTATATGAAGAATATTATACTGATTACGACATCATTCATGAAGCTCTTCCGTCCGATGAATTTTATCATTCTGATAGTCAAGAACCTTTGTTTGAAACACCAGCATCTACAGATTTAATATCAAACTACACTGATGAAACTTCCTTGTTGACCGAAACTGGCTATAACCCTGAATCGATTTATTATACGGATCAACAAAACGACAGTCAGGATTTCAACTACTTTCATTCTGGGTAAAAGTTTTAACAAAATAGACAAATAGATATATATAAATGACTTTATATAGTCAATCATATAGTTAGATAGAAATGTAGATAGTTAGAAAATTAGAGATAGAGATAGAGATAAATTTTTAGGTATAAAATTATACAGTTAGAAAGTTTTAAGATAGATAGACAGATAGTTAGATAGATATAAAGTTTCAAGATGAATAGTCGGACAGAAAAATAGATAGTTTTATAGAATAATAGTTAGTTATTTAAGTCGAAAATCGTAAACAAAGATTGATGAACAGGGCATTTTAAGATAGATAGATAGTTGATATATAGTTAGATATAGATAAACAGTTAAAACTCTAGAAAGTTATACAGATAAATAGATATATCTAAGATTTTGCAGGTTTTCAAATTAGAGATTGACTAATTATTCAAGATTATCTAATTTTAATGATAAAAAATATTTTTAGGAATGGAAGTACACAAGGCTTGGATCAGATACGTTTTTTGCAAGTAAACACAAAGTCCTTGAAAACAGAGGTTTTTATACTGTGGATCCTTATACCTGTGTCTGTGTTTCTTGGTGTTTATTTCTTGACCATGTGTTTCACTTATTATTATTTGGTAAGGAATTTACTAGATACTACTAATTAAATATTTAATTAAGATTTATTGATTAATATGAAACATACTTTGAATCTAATTTTTCAGACGAGTAAGCGCTCAGGGGTAACTAAACAGACTCAGACTGATGAAGCGGTATATACTTCATGGATAACTATTTATCCCAACGTGAACACTTCACCTACTTCTTTAAATAATATGAATTTCATAGACATCGATTTAAATGAATAAAGACAAATGTAGATAAAACTTTTTGACGATTTCTTTCTGATTTTTTTTTAACCTTTGACATAACATTTGAATAAAATTTTCTTTTTAGCATATATTTATTTATAAAGGATATATATATATATTATTAGTAATTAAGGGTATATGTTTAAACCACAAACCACAATATCGTTAATACAAAGTAAAACTTATTTCTCTTTTATGTTCTTCTTCTCGCCCTTCTTTCTTTTCTATTCATCTTCTGAACCAACCTCTCCAGTCTATACCTATTCAACCAGTTATTCCATTCAAATTTGGTGACTTGGTTGTTGGTTAGGTAGTAATCGGCCAGCCAAGACCGTACCACCTTTATATGTTTTTTCAGTTCCGGTTCCATAGATGCCAAATTTCCATACTTGGATACTAACTCTTTGATCGAACCAACAGACTTCCATTCTGGATCCTCTCCCTCCATTTCATCCAATTCAATATTTTCTCCGTCATCTTCAGTTTCTTCTTCATCTTCCAGTTCTTCTTCTTCTTCTTCGTTACCTATGTCCCTTTCTCCCAGTTCTACATTTGCTTCCTCAATATTTTCTTCATTTCTATTTTCTTCAGTTTCTTCTGTTTCTTCATGGTCTGGACTCCCCTGAGGACCTGGTCCAGTAATGATTGAGGGATTAACAGGGATAATATCCTGCACCTGAGGATGTATCAATTCTATAATTTCAATATCACTATCTGACTCCATGTCAGAACTTATGTATATCTCTGCGTCCATTTATGGTCCTTTTGTAACTGGCTATGTATCTATGTAGCTACACCTTATATGTTCTAGAAGTGAAATCAGACAGTCTAGACATGGGTTTAGAACTAAAGTAAACTTTGAAAAATCTATAATCCAAAATATTCCATTCTTAAATGTTTTTCATTGTTTTGTATATACCATCTGGTATTTGATGTGGATATTACATTTATGACGAACAAAATTGGCTGTTGAATGAATTTCATATTTAAATATTGATAATTTTATCTATTCTCATTTTTCATAATATCAGGCTCTGTTTCATATATCCATACATATATTTTTTATTAATGTACTCATTATTCTTTCATATAAGTAAAACTTCTTTAACTTTTATATTTAGCCTATAATCAGAAACAAATATTCACATTGTAGCCTTCGTAAAAAAATTAATCTCAAAAATAAAATGGATTGCTCCCTAAAATGGATTGCTCCATAATCCATAAACTGAATCATTATCATTTTCAATAACAAAAAGGCTTCTCAGGCACAATTTTGTTTTATCTCAAAAAATTGGAAAAGCAACTTTTTGATTCAGTTAAAATTCGTTTTTCTTAAAGTACACAATACTAGGGATTCACATATTGCGATACTTTGTTGACTCGATTTCTTACATTATCCAATACGGTTTCTCAGACTCGTCGATTGGCTTTATATTAGTCAACATATATGCTTTTCTAAGAGCGTCCTCCTAGAAAAAGGGTAATTCTTGGAATATGTTAGTTGTAAACTTTTGTTATTGATCAGATACTAAAAGTTTAAATTGGTTAATCCCAAAACCCCTACAATGTCAGAGCAAAAATATTGTTTCACGAATCCCGATATATCAATATCTAATATTTAGTTCATTCTTATTTTATTCATTCTTATTTTATTCATATCAATTATTAATTATTAATTTTACATATATTTCTCAAATTGTCCTCCAATGAGGTTTATATTTCGTTCAAAATTTCTATCACAATTGATATCTAATATATAGTTCATTCTTATTTTATCTATATCAATTATTAATTATTAATTTCACATCTGTTTTTCAAATTGTCCTCCAATGAGGTCCATATTTCTTCTAAAATTTCTATCACAATTGATGAGAAGATAAAATGCAAAAAGTGAAAATCTTTTTAGAAGAATTAATGGCATCCTTAATTTCAAATTGCTTATGTATAATGGCACGCCTTGTCTATAATATAGATTTTCTGTATAGTGAAGACCGCTTTCTTTCCCCTCCCCGTTAAGCTTTACGGTAAATGTCGGGTCGGTACAGTTTACAGCTGTAAGCCTGTAATACCAGTTGATACTCAGACATAGAACAGTAAACATTACACTGTCAGTGAATTTAAAGTATATGCTCGTTAGATCTGTATAAGAGCGATTTATGTAAGCAAGTTGGGATTGAGCTGTCAACAAAAGAAGGGGCCTTTAAAAACTAGGAGAATATAGGGTGTCAAATTTCATTCTGTATAATCTTAATTTTAAAGGCCAAATTTAATCATCAATTTTTCTAATTCCATCAAGAGTGATCAGGTAGGGTGGTTCATAATAAATGATTCAATATTTTATGCATTAACTTTTTATTGAAAAGTGTTTAAATGTCAAATCGTACATGCCTCTCTTCAATATCTTCAAAATCTTCCTCGTCTAAATTAAAAAATTCTTCAAGAAGCATTTGTTTATCACGTTCTATATCATTTATTCTTTTAGTATTTAGACGAATTCAAGTGAAATCATTCTGACCAGAAAACATCAAATTTTAAACGATATATCAATGAATGTCTTCTATATACTGGTTATATTGGCCTGAAATAAAATCATATTGAAAATTTGCAAAATGGCATTTCTAACAGTGTATCAAGAGTGATCAGGCAGGGTGGTTCATAATAAATGATTCAATATTCTATGCATTTACTTTTTCGAAAAGTGTTTAAATGTCAAATCGTACATGCCTCTCTTCAATATCTTCAAAATCTTCCTCGTCTAAATTAAAAAATTCTTCAAGAAGCATTTGTTTATCACGTTCTATATCATTTATTCTTTTTGAACGGGTCACCCTTTGATCCATCTTAGGATTTTCATCTTTTTTGTTTTCAAATATTTCTTTAATATTTTCATAAGTTAAAACGTTTAGCATTTTAAACACCTCTTTAGGGACATTTTTAAAATTTTCTTCATTATTATCTATAATACCGATCTTTTTTATATCATCTACAGCTCGGAGTACTTGACTCCCATCTAAAATATTCTCAAGAATGTGATTGAAATATTTAATGCTCAAAATTCTGTATGGAATGTTTTCATAGACTGATTTTAGTTTACGAGATACCCCTATAGTGTCTCCGTATGCTTTAATAACCACATAATCATTAGTTTTAAGCTTAGTCTCGACTTTATTCTTATTAATTCTTTCCTGTCTTAATCTTAAATTTCTCAATCTGCGATCATTAAACTTATTTATCTCATCATCCAAGATGTCTTTATATTTATTTTCTGTTTTTGAACAAGGTTTCTTGTTCGGGTCTCATAAAATCATGTCTTAGGAATGAAGTCCCAAATTGAAGTTGGGAGGGTGTTAACGTCTCATTGTGGAATATACGATTATTTAGAAAGAATGTTACCAAAGGTATCAAGTCACTCCAATGTTCCCGGTCATCAATTGTCAACGTCTTTAATGAGCGTTGTAAAATACCGTTGTACAATTCTACATAAGATCTTGCTCTACTCTTATAAGCTGCAGATGTTGGGTGACTTATCCCATGGGTTTTGACAAATTTAGAGAATTCACGGGACCTAAACCCGGAATAATTATCTGTTATGAGATACTTTATAATTCCAAAACAACTTAAATAGTTTCTCAGACAGTTAAGTACTGAGTGTGTCCTTTTATCTCTTAAAACATAGGTTGAACAGTATCTACTGTACAAATCCACAAGGACTAATAAATATTTATTTTGAGACGGTAAATCTTCTATAAAGTCCATCATAACGCAGATATTTGATTTGTCAATACCAAACCTTCCATATTGGATCCTATTCTTCCCCATCTTTACTAGTAAACAAGCCAAACATGATTGACAAAGTTTTTCAACCAATTCTTTAAACAATTTCTTATTGTTTATATAAAATAAGTTCTTGCATGTTTTTGTTAAAGAGACAGGTCCTAAATGTAAACCAAGTATATGCTCTCTCATTATGCATAGCATATATAAGTTTTCTGGTAAGATTGGCAAATCGTCAAAAAATATTACACCATTTCTTTCTATTGCACCCTCTAATTTATGTTCTCCAAATTGATTTTTAATCAGTTCCTCGCTACTAAGAAACTTATCCAGGAAATTAGTCTGGTCTACAAAAATTTTTAAGCTTTGGATGTTATGTGCGTTTTCTTCCGGATCCAAATCTAAGTAAAAATTGTTTTGGATTCTTGTGTCTATTTTCTTTTCTGAAAATTTTATTAATTTTGGGTTACTTTCACAAAATTCAACAATATTTTCCCAAGTTAAGATTTCTGGCAGTTTTTGTCTTTCTTCATGATTTATTTTGAGCGGACATAAAGTTAGCGTAAAAAACGTTTCTTTACTTAAGCCTAGTCTACTTAAGAAATCGGCAATATTATCTCTTCCGGAAATATTCAAAACATGCACGTTTTTATAGGAAAGGGCAATTTTTAGAGACCAGCGGATAAGTTTTTTACTAGAATTTTGAACATTGGGATTAAACATAAAAAAGCTCACTCTACTATCCGTACAAATTAAAGTCAACGGCGAGGTTCTTATATCATTTTTAAAAGCCTCTAAAGAATATAAAAGTGCTGCGCTTTCTTTAAGATAAATCAGATGGTGTTGTTCACTTTTTGGTATTGTCTTAGAAAATTGTCCTACAAGCTTAATATGTTGTTTTGCTGTATTGCTGTCTAGTGTAGCTTTAAAATGTTTAAAAACTATTTTTGGATCAGTATATTGGGAAAGGATTTTATTATTAGATCTTATTATTAAGTTTTTAGAATGAAATGTTTCAAGAACGTAGAAAAGTGTAAATTTGTGAAATTCTGTATCAATTCCAATTAAGATGTCATTTTCATACTCTTCTATTAAACAAAAAAATGGTTTTTTCTGAATTCTTTTGCTGCCAAATATTATTTTTATATTAGTTTTAAATAAAATACATGCTATAGCCAGAAATTCCAAAAAATGTTCCATGAAATAATCATCTGAGATTTCGTTAAAACATACTGTTTCTATAAAATCATTTAAATGTTTTGAAGATTCAAAAAATGTTCTAATTTTTAATATTGATCCAAAAATATTATTTAAAAAGTCTGAGATGTTGTTATCATCCCATTCATAAACATCATGGAATTTACAGGAGCTATAGAGTAGATGAATAAAATTTTTAAATTGAGAAAACTCTTTTTTGCTTGATAAAAATGTTTTACATTTAATATTGTAGAAATTTAAATGATCTTTGCATGTGTACTCTATGTCTAACAGATCAATTGGAGGATCATTTTCAAAGTATTCGATATTATAGGAAACAATATGCCGCCAAGTAATTTATCAGAAGCATCTGAGTAAATTATTTTAATACTATTGTCTGTCTGTGGTTTGGCGTAGCTTATACTTGAATGTAATAATTGATTAATCATATTAAAAGCCTGTTCGTGTTCAGTATTCCATTTAAATTGAGCAGTTGTTGAAGTTAATGGAGTTAGAACAGTTGTAAGATCTAAAACTTTTAATGGTAAAAGATGTCTAATAAAATTGATATACCCCAAAAATTTCTGGACATCTTGTGTGTTTTTAGGAGTTTTAAAGTCTTTTAATACGTTTAATTTTGCTTTGTTTGGTATGATTTTTCCTTGTTCAACCTCAAATCCTAAAAGTTTAAAATTGTCAGACTGAACTTTAATAAAAAAATCAGATTTTTCTAAATTAATTTTTAATCCCAGTCTGTGTATTCTGTATAGGAATATTTCCAGGTGTTTTTTGTGTAGATCTTCATCCCCCTTAGTCGCAATTGAGAGATTGTCAAACCATGCTCTAAAAAAACTATTAGGTGTGCTTAAAGGATCGTAAAGGCCAGCGTCATTAATATTCATTTGTTTATTTATGGTGTCAGTAAAAAAAAGTGGTACAGAATTTAATCTGGTCAAAGGAGAGTAGAATCTTACACATCTGTCATCTGTTATAACTTGGCTAATGTTTGAATCAAGTGCTGTTCGGCTCAGGCGTATTGCGTAATATGCTGAACGGAGGTCTACACAAGATAAGAAGTCATACTTAGATATAATGGTTTTCAGAGGTGTGGCTACACAGTCTGTTCAATATTTACTGCATTATGCATAAATATTCATTGAATATTTGTCACACACATATAATTATGTGTCCACCATGTGTCAACCAAGAATAATTCTAGATCTACCTTATATATAAATAGGTGTTTTGTAATAACTAAATTTTGTTATTCATATTTTTTGATTGCTTAAGGGAAGGGTACAATAAAAATGTTAATTAAAGTTATAATATCATTTATATACTGTCATTTAAACGTGCTTTCAAAAACCAACTTTAGCTGAGGCATGATAGAGAGAAATTACGTAAAATTTTTATTTTAACGAAACAATGCCCTTGCCCTTTACCCTTTCCACCATTTCCAAAATAGGAATTTGTATTTACAGTTAACCCTATTCCGGGGGGTCCCCCCAGCATATCCTGGTTTTCAAGTACCCCAGCAGGGATAGGGTTAAGAGGTTGCGTGAGAAACTATAATATTGGTTAAAACAGATTTATATGTTTAAAGTGCAGTGCAGTGGTCTGCAGTCCTGTTAAACTAAATTAAATTGATGCACATGAGATTGAAATCTTTTATATTTTATTTAAAGAGTTTCAGAGAAGAAAAAAATGTTTTAAAAATTCTAATCATGTATAAACTGCACAGTGGCGGCCATAAGGGGGGTTATTGGGGTTATTTACCCCCCCCCTAGAATCCTGGGGGTAAATACCCCCCCTAGGAATCCTGGGGTTAAACCCCCCCCCTAGAATTCTAGGGGTAATTACCCCAGAACATATATTCAGGCCCTGAATAGCAGGGGTTACTCCACGGAAAGGCTATCTAGAGAAGAACAAAAGTGTTTTAAAAATTCTAATCATGTATACACTGCAGAAACTGCAGGATAAATTTTCTTTTTTTCTACGTACGCCACTCCTGTATGCCAAGTCCATAAGCGCCTGATCCAATGGTTCAGTCATGTGTTAACATCTACTTTTTTACTCTACAGAGGTTTGGTCCATCACCATCACCGAATTTTAAGTCTATTCTGAACCAATAGAAATAGTATGGCGGTTATACATATCTTTCCTATTTAATTATCCAATCAGAGTAACGAATCCTTCAATGGCGCTGTCAGTAAATGGAAATATTTACTTCTATGGTGACGCGTGCGTAAAATCGTACCAATAATGAGGAAAACATTTGATCTTCTCCTTTTGTCTAGTGTGCAGTGCAGTATAATATATTATGTGTGTTTCCCAAGTGGTATAATTAGTTTGTAGTTATATATTAAATTAAGCCTTAAAGTATATAATTAAGGTTTTCCACACAATTTAGTTTTATTATAATTATACAAAAATATACTTTCTAAACGTTGTTTTTGTTTAAATTCATCATTGCATTTACCTTATTTTATCCACTGTGCATGAAGTTTTTATTGGCATGTATCTTATTTAAAACAAAATATTGAATCTCGGCATTGCATTGTATAAATTGACATAAGGCGTAAATTCAAGTTACCTCCCCCCCATGCAAAAAAAAGGCAATGCCTGATTCACAACGGTACCCTTAAAACAATTATCTGATCAACGCATGAACGTATTTGCCATTTTTCTACGTTAAAACGTTTTGTAAATCAGAAATGTGCAAGTTGCTTTCAGTGGAAAAACCTGATTTGAAAATTATCAGTTTTCAAAATTATAAACATTTTTGAAATAAGGAAAAGAATTTTGTCAACAAAATTTCTTAAACATGAAATGTCCTATCTTTGAAATGTCCTATCAATGAAATGTCCTAACTATGAAATGTCCTTTCTACAGTGAAACCCTTAATAACGAATACATCGAAGGAATTCATCAAATGTCGTATTCTTCACTTTCTGATAATGGAATGTTGCAGATATTTAGTTTTTTAATAAAATAATTATATGGAACTCTTTAAAACTGTTCCAGCATATTCATGGCTATTTATTTATTTTCGCAAATACTGAAATTTACGAAATATAGTAAAAAGCTCATTGAAAAATTGTCAAGGCGACATTTGATAAATTCTTCCGATGTATTCGTTATTAAGGGTTTCACTGTATGAAATGTCCTCTTGAAATGTCCTATCTTTGAAATGTCCTCTATGAAATATCCAATCTATGAAATGACCAATGTATGAAATGTCCTATCTATGAAATTTCCTATCTTTGAAATGTCCTATGTATAAAATATCCTGTTGAAATGTCCTATCTATGAAATGTCCTATCTATGAAATGTCCTATCTATGAAATGTCCTTTCTATGAAATTTCCTCTCTATGAAATGACCAATGTATGAAATGTCCTCTTGAAATATCCTATCTATGAAATGTCCTCTATGAAATGTCCTATGTGCATAGTGTACAATATGGGTATCGATTCCCAAATTAATTGTTTTCAGCTTGTTTCTGGAATTATTAATACTCTCCGACCACTGCTATCCGCACTACCCCTCTTCTGAAGGGTACACAGTTCCAAGTTGAAAAACGGGGTTTTTATACTTACTGCATCATGTGTCGGTAACCATGCATATGATTTTTGAAACAGTAACCACACAATTCTTGAGCTGAGATATCGAGAATTTTTGTTCGTACAGGGTGTCCCACGAAACATGACAATAGCAAGACGACTTGAAAGTCGTCTTTGATATTTGAATTTATTTGTGACATTTAGTTTTCTATCTACTTTAACATGTATGATTCTTGAAACAATTATCACATAATTCTCCTAGCCCTTGCACTTCCAAAAAGTGGTTTGCATTTTTTGTGCTTTCAATATTTATACCGGAGATATAAAGAGTTTGGTTCAGATTTCAATTTTGTTAAATAAAAGCAAAATTGTCGAAATCTGAACGAAATTGTTCATATCTCGGGCAATATTAAAAGCACAAAAAATGCAGACCACATTTTGGAAATGGCAGGACTAGGCAAATTATGTGATTATTATCTCTAGAAATTTACTTCTAAAATTAGGTTGACAAATAAATTATAGCAGCAAATTATATCAAAAATCAAAACGATATTTAAGTCATCTTGCATTTTTAAAAATGCCAAATTATCGAAATTTCTGAACAAAATTCTTAATATTTTAGATAATATTGGGCATAAAAAGGCAGCACACATTTTGAAAAATGCCAAGAATAGAGGTATATTTTACAATAAATACTTATTGTACATCTGAAATTTAGTTCACGAATAAATGCCGCAAATATTTTCAAATATTAAAGACGACCTTCAAAGTCGTCTTGCTACTGTCATGTTTCGTGGGTTCATATTAGTCTGATTTTCAATTGAAAACTTTCAGTAGAAAAAAGGCAAACTTTTAAATATTCATTTTCGAAAATGCCAAATGGATATTTTTAGGAAAGATACGTCGCAATAGGTAAAAAACAACATTGTAAATTTTGAAAAATCCACAAAACTGTGGATTGTAGAATGACGACATTTGATATATTATACAATTGTGCATAGTGCACAATTGCTTTCTTGTATGATTATTGGACTTTTAAAAATCACAATTTTTAACTATATAGATGTTTTTAAGCATCCCCCTCTTTAGTAATGCTGATCTTATGTCTGCACTAAGGAACCGGAAATTGTTTCTGTGATGTAATCGAATCTAAAACTAGCGGATTTAGATTATATTGGATTGTGATTTCCCGGAATTTGTGAATTAATTTCCCGCAATTCTGTCCTTCCTTCCTTCCTCTTACATATTCTCTGGAATTCAACTTTAAATCTACAGGGGTAAAAATTCTTTAAAAAAATAAAAATAAAAAAATAATCTAAAAAATAAGGTTTATAGATTTTGATCAAAAATGTTTTATAATGTAGAAAGTTTGATTAAAAAGTATATTCGACCCTAAAGGGTTAATTTTGTATAAAGAAGGGTGATTGGACTTTAATTATTTAGTTTTATAACCTGCAAATACAAAAATGTTCAAGTTTAACAAATTAGGCAAACTTCTTTCAAATGTTTATTGTTTTTGTTTACAATTTAGTCTTTGAGGGACTTTAGACGAAATTTTCATCATCTTTTCTATGAAAATTGGATAAAATAGTGAAAAGGAATTAAATTTCAGTTTGTGCAGGCAAAGACTTAATTCCATTGTCATGCACTATAAATAATAAAAACAATGATAAATAGATCATATAGAGGTTTAAACAGTATCAATGTTTATGAAATAATTCTTTCCAGTGTTTTTTTCTCATATTTAAATAAGAACGTTCATAATCAGACTATTTATTGCGATTTTTCTTTTGCAAATTTTTGAAAGAAGTAATTTTTAGTATTTTTCTGTTTATCAATCAGCCTGCCTTACATCAGCGGTGATCCTGTATCAGCTGACAAATCAGTTGATTATGATCCTGCTCTATACGATGATCTTGCGGATTACTCCGGCGTTGATGTTACTAATGTCGCTGTTGATATCGCGGAAGATCGGAATGATTTCTATCCTCATAGCCGTAAATACTACAATAACCCTAATCCACCATATTATCACAGTCAAATAATATCTGCTCCCCCTGCAGTTCCTCCTCCACCTCCCCCACCAGTTGCTGTTCCTGTCTACTCATTCAAGTATCAGGTAAAGCAAAACTTCTTCTCCGAAATGTTTGATGCTTGGCACCAAATTCTTATGAATATTAACTTTTAATAACAATTTTAACAAATTATTACCATTTTGACATAACACAAGAAGGCAGATGACACATCAAATGTTTTATTTTTTGCTGAACTCGTTAAAGAACTGATTACTCTCCCCAAACTCCACACGGGAAGCCGTAGTACATTTGAATTTCCAAGACGGGTCAACCTTTCCGGCCCCAGGTTGTACTGTACCTAGCTCTATGGACAGGACTAGCCGGTGCAACAAGGTTGACGCGGTCAGACTTTATGCTTTATATAGGTTGAATTTACTTTTACTAAAGGGGAAGATTTGCGTGTCTAAGGTTAAAATCTATCTTTTTTCGCAACATCCTTTAATATTTTAAATTTTGACTATGCTAATCTAAAAGAACTCATGGTCTACTATATCAGTTTGCAAAGATATAAGGATTAGAACATGAGAGCTTGAGATGAAATATCTTCTCTATTGACGTGGAAAACTAATAACATGCATAGTCTGGTCCATTTACAAATTTAAGATATTAATTTCAACATTTAATATTTTTTCTGAAATATTACAGGTTGCCGCCCCTCCAGCATATAAAGGTCAAATACCGGTCAACTTTGGTCATAAAGAGGAGAAAAACGGTCACCAAACTCAGGTAAGGAGAAGAGAAGCGGTCACCAAACTCAGGTAAGGAGAAGAGAAACGGTCACCAAACTCAGGTAAGGAGAAGAAAAACGGTCACAAAACTCAGGTAAATAGGAGAGAAACGGTCACCATACTCAGATAAAGATGAGAAAAACGGTCACCATAGTTAGGTAAAAAAAAGAATGGTCGCCAGGTAAGTAAGAAAGAAACGGTCACCAAACTTAGGTAAGAAGGAGAGAAACGGTCCCCAAACTCAAGCAAGGAGGAAAGAAACGGTCACTAAGATCTGACAGTAATTTTTTGGATTACAATATTTATTTTAGTTCAATACAAATTTTTGAATGAGAAAAAAGTTGAACTATTCAAAACCTTTTATATTTATTCTAATATGCTTCAACATTTTTGGATAGTGATGTTTATTTTGCATTTCTAAAATATGTTTGAATGTGTAGGGTGTGTACTATGTTCTGCTGCCTGATGGCAGACTGCAGAAGGTTGCATATACAGTAGATGGAGAGAATGGGTATGTTGCTCATGTAACCTATGAGTCAGCTCCTGTTGAAGCCCTCCCACCTCCTCCTCAACCTAGCCCAGTACCTCAGTATAATGGTAATTGTTAAAAACCAAAAATTTTACATTTAAAAAAATTTTCTCCAATGATCCAGTGGTGGGCGATTATATAAATATAATAAAAACAACTTTTTATGTTTTAATTGTTAACAGGCCTTTTTCGAATAAAAAGTTTACAAGTGAGGAAAAAGACTATTAAAATCAAAATTGAAATTGAAAGTCGTCTTTAATATATTGATATAATCGCTTACCACCACATGAAGAAGAGAAAACTATAATGGTTCATGTTTAATTTCTCATAATTATGCTTTTTACAGTAATAGTAAACAAATTATAATTAAGACAATTTTTCATTTTTATACAATAAAACAAAATTCATTTAATCAGCAAAGCTTAAAATGCTTAACCAACTCCGGCAAAGCAAATAAAGGCTCTATTTCATGATTTTTAAGAATTCGTAATTAGAAAATTGAACTATATTTATATATTTATCCATGCGGAGAAATAATTTGAATAATTTGTGCCAAAACATTTCTCTTAAAAATTTAATCATTTTGAAGGGGGAGGGGCAAACACTTTCTTCTGATTTTAATGTGCATGTTTTTCAGGCCACTATCGAGAACTGCCTGGGCCTGGACCCCTGGGACCTGGACATAATGGACCTGGGCCAGTTGGTCCTGGACCCGTTTACTATGCTGATATCCCAGTCTATAACAAACATAAAAACAATCATTATAGATAATTTAAAGTTTTGCATTTATAGTTAATTTGTTATAATTTTATTATTTTTTTTGAAAACTTAAATATATATTTATTGTAAATTATATCATAATAATCAATAAGGAATAGAAGGGAAACTTATAGAGTAAACCTACAAGTCTTATGGCATATTCAAACCAAAATTGTGTTCATCAGCTTATTTTTTCAAATGAATCCTAAATAATTTGTCCACAACACTGCATTCTCAGTTTAACTACCTTATATAGCCGGTCTGTGCCTTTTAGGTAATAATTACTAAAGTGTCCGGCGTTGCCAATGGAATATTTAAAAAATCGATTTTTGAAAAAAATTGAAGTTTTTAGCCATTTGTTTGCCCCAGGATAGTCAAGGGTTCCCTCAATAATGTTCGGCCAATGATTGTTAAAGCAGTTTGGCCAGCTATGGCTATAACATATAAATTTATATATATGAGCGAAGAGCTTTAATATTTAGATACCATCTATATTTGTCGAGTCCCTCCGACAGAATTGTGTAAATCCTTTTAAGGAAATGTCCAGAATTCTAGTGTTCAGACTCCTGAATTATTTGAAAAATTTGGCATAAAATTGTTTCTGACATCTTGAGAGTCGTTTTTTAGTTGATTTTTTAGGTTCAAATATAGATTATATCTCTTAGATTATTTCACAAATCAGTTGTGATATCTACTCAAATATAGAACCTATTACAACAGAGTAATACAAAAATCTACTCAAACAACCTTTACAGAGAAATACAGACATCTACTCAAATATAGAGCCTTTCAGAAATTTGATCAGGAATCTACTCAAATATAGACCTTTTCACAGAATAATATAGAAATCTGCTCCAATATAGAACCTTTAAGGAAGAAGTATATTAATCTACTAAAATTATTAAATTCAAATTTAATCAGGAATCTACCCAAATAGAGAACCATTAATAGATAAGTACATATATCTACTCAAATATAAAACCTTTCACAGAGTAATACAGAAATCTACTCAAATATAGAACCTTTTAGAGTCATACAGAAATATAGTCATAAATAGAACCTTTTAAGTGATAAAAACTAGAGATTAATCCTGACTGTACAACCTTTTTTAATGGAAATCAGAAAATCAATTGTCCAACACATCAATTGTACAACACATCAATTTTACAACTTATCAATTGTACAACATAACAATTGTACAACACATCAATTGTCCAACACATCAATTGTAATTGTACAACGCATAAATTGTCCAACACATCAATTGTCCAACACATCAATTGTACAACACATCAATTGTACAACACATCAATTGTACAACACAACAATTGTACAACACATCAATTTTACAACACATCAATTGTACAACACATAAATTTTACAACTTATCAATTGCACAACATAACAATTGTACAACACATCAATTGTCCAACACATCAATTGTACAAAACATCAATTGTACAACGCATAAATTGTCCAACACATGAATTGTACAACACATCAATTTTACAACACAACAATTGTACAACACATCAATTATACAGCACATTAGTTGTACAACACATCAATTATACAACACATCAATTGTACAACACATCAATTGTACAACACATCAATTATACAACACATGAGTTGTACGACACATGAATTGTCCAACACATGAATTGTACAACACATCAATTGTCTAACACATCAATTATACAACACATGATTTGTACCGGTACAACACATCAATTGTACAACACAACAATTGTACAACACATCAATTATACAACACATGAGTTGTACGACACATGAATTGTCCAACACATGAATTGTACAACACATCAATTTTACAACACAACAATTGTACAACACATCAATTATACAACACATGATTTGTACCGGTACGACACATGAATTGTCCAACACATGAATTGTACAACACATCAATTGTCCAACACATCAATTATACAACACATGATTTGTACCGGTACGACACATGAATTGTCCAACACATCAATTTTACAACACATCAATTGTACAACACATGAATTGTACAAAACATCAATTTTACAACACATCAATTGTACAACACATGAATTGTACAACACATGAATTGTACAACACATCAATTGTCAAACACATCAATTGTACAACACATCAATTGTCCAAAACATCAATTGTCCAAAACATCAATTGTCCAACACATAAATTGTCCAACATATATTGTACAACTCATCAACATATCAAATGTCCAATAAATCACGTTGGCATGAGAAGAAAGAGGGGGGGGTTAAAAAAAATGTAAATAAGGTAAAAAATCCTTTCTCCGACAATAGTTAACTACGTCGTTTGAGGATTTTGAGTGTCCATTGCTATCTAACCTAAAGGCTGTGGGATCTGTGGGGTGTTTGGCGCGCCTTACCTCTAGAAAAATGCCTCAGAGAATAGGTATAGGGTTAAAATTCATGTTCATAGCCCAATTTGCAATGGCCAGCTCATTGAAAAAAAATTAGACCGATAACTTTAATAGTTTTGGTGCTAGGGGGGGTTGGAAAAAACGCCGAAAAAAGGGGTAAGAAAAATGAAAAAAAAATTGTTTTAAACTTTAGAATTTAGAGTTAGTTTCCCGCTTCCCTTCACCCCTTCTGTAACGTTTAAAAAAGTTTATTAATGGTTGTTATATAATTAACACATGTTTATCAGATTACGGAGATTCAAAGACTAAATTTTAAAAGACTGCTTTTAAATCCTTCACATTCTTTAGTTTACACACTCAAATTTTCTAATTGATATATATTTGCAACCAGATGGTGTAAACATTTCATATTTTAAAGATTTTACGAAGAGCCCGGCGTTGCCCGTGGAAAACAAAATTTGAAAAAAATTACTATTTTTTAGCCAATCAGCTAAAGGCAACATATATATACGAATGTCTTGTTTTACTATATAGAATAGCAGAGTTTATAGTTTAAAATATCTAAAGCCTACGGCATTCGGCTGCATTGAAAAGATATAGTATTTAGAAAATTTGAGTTTGTAGCAAAGACTCAGTTCCTTTATAGAGTGAAAGCTCCTCTTTTGGCTTTAAAGTAAATGTTATCATTCATAAAGTCCTTAAAATGCTGTTTCTTGTTTATTATAACAAATATGATAATTATATTTAAACTTATTTCGACAAACATATCGTTATTTTGGTATTTTTGACCGACACTTCATATATATTTACGACTAAAAATAAAAATTAAAATCTCGAAACCTCGTTAAGAAGAAAAGTTTCTCCGCTACTAAAAACTGTTATGAAGTGCGCTATTAAAGAGAGTGTTCACAAAAAAGGAAAGGGAGTATAGGCTTACCGAAGAACGTAGCGTCCATACAAATTCGGAAAGTTGCAATATTCAAATCGGATCGTAAAATATTCAATTTTTCCAAACAAATCATTCAGACAACAAGTAGTCATCATCGATTATTTTTGAGGCATTCGTAGATAGTTAATATTTAAATTGAAATATAAAGTTAAATTGCTTTAATGCGGTTAAATTGCTTCATGAATTTGGACTTAAAGGGACCGTTCTCATATTTTGATAATTTCTGAACGAAAAATCTATTTTTTCTCCGGCCACAGATGTCTTTGAAAAGTAAGACTAATACCAATCAACAGCGAATAGGCTGTTTAGTTTACCCTGAAATTACCCAAATAAGTGAACGGTCCCTTTAACTTTTTTCTAGTCCACAAAGTTTTCACTATTAAACTTCGAGTTTCAATATCATAAACTCTTAGAATGTTTCTAATCATGGCCCGAACATATCATAATCTATGATTTTTATACTTCTAAAAGAAGTCACATATTGATCCGCACAAATGAAATATCTGAAATTTAAATTGAAATCAACCATATGTAACAACGTAATGAAATGATACCAAACATAAACTGTACAATGTAAGTACATGTATTATGGTGAAAACCAGTATTTTATAAACAGTTGTGGACCATTTACACAAAATACATGGTAAAATAAATATTTGGTTTAAAAAAAATATATTTCATAATGTTTTTGATTTTGTTTTTTAAAATAATATTTCGCTGGCGCTGGATTTTCGAACAGTCTTGTAAATATTAAAATGTCGTCTTCATTATAAAATTCCTCGAAACAGAAATAAATGTTTTCAAAAGTAACTATCAGATCATAAAAAAATGAAAAAATATTCTGAAATATCAACTATATACGAATGCGTCGAAAAATTTTCGATGATTACTGGTTGTAATATCTGATTGATTTGTTTGGAATTAAATTGACTTTTATGTATGGACGCTACGTTCTTAGGTAATGAGTCGTTTTTAACAATTTTCTCCTTATAGACGCAAGAGATAAAAGTAAGATTAGTAGCGATCAAAAGAGCTTATTTTTCGCCTTAAGCCTTATACCCCCTTTCATTTTCGCTAACACTCCCTTTAAACATCTCTATTTTATTAGTTTGGCAATTTTTAATTATTAAAATTTTTTTTTCCTTGTAAGTTTTTGCGTTGTATTTAAAAAATGAAATTTGTTTCTTTTATTTATTCAGCCTCACTAAATAATCACAATAAGAATAAATAATTTCAGTTCATTCTTACGCATAACGAAAGGTGTAAAGTATTCTGAAGGACCGTCTTATATTTCAGAGTCTTTGGAAAGAAAATTTCAAAATTTTTAGAGAAACCGCGTTTTATTGGGATTCTTTTATATCAAGCATTTTCTACGGTATTTATGGTTGGTGGATGGGGGG